AGGGCGCGAAGAGGGCCGCGCATAGCAGGGCGCGAGGTGCGCGAGGGCGCGACGCTAGGCACTCTGGGGGTAGCCCAGACATGCTCGCCTCGTGGGTGTTCGGCCGTTGCCCCACCTCCGGGGGGCCCTCGCCTGGCCCCCGGGACCGTCAAGGAGCGACTCGGAAGAAAAGAATGGCCCTGGGGAGGGGTGCGAGACACTTTTTGGGGGATCCCACACTGACAGAATCAAGACATCGCTCGTCTGGGAAGTTGCTCGAAAGCGTTCGGAACGCTCTCAGAGCGTTCTAGAACGCTAAGATGACGAAGATCAGGGTCTTCCTGACCGCATATAATCGATAGTCGCTCGATGAGCAAGCCAGGCTCTCAGAGGGATCTCCGATTGTTGCCCCAGCCCGAAGTTCTCCTGGTCGGTCTCGCCCTGGAGGACGACGCGGAGTCCGACTCGGATGCGGGCGACGCCTTCCAGGTGGGCACGCTCAGCGTGAGGCCGGAGGCGAGCAAGGTTCGGGAGGGGAGAGGGCACACAGACACAATTACCTCCTCCTCCTCCTCCTCCTCCTCCTCCTCCTCCTCCCCTTCCCCCTATTCCTGTTCCTCCTCCTCCTGCTCCTCCACCTCTTCCTCCTCCTCCGCCTCATCCTCCTATTCCTATTCCTCCTCCTCCTCCTCCTCCTCCTCCTCCTCCTCCTCCTCCCCCTCCTCTGCCTCCTCTGCCTCCTCCTCTTCCTCCTCCTCCTCCTCCTCCAAAGAAATCGTAGAACAACGTGCAACACGTGTAATATTGGTGTGTCCCAGGGCCCCATCAAAAGGCTATGAGCGTGAGGCCGCTGGCCCCGGCGGACCTGCCGCCGGCACCGAGAGGGCACGGCGGCCCGCCAGAGGCCGGCTGCCAGGCGCTCGACGTCACCGTGTGCGCCCCGCCGCACGAGGCCTCGCGCGGCAGCAAGCAAGGGCGTCTAGGCCTCCTACCACCGAGCGCGTTCCACTGCTCGCAAAGTGCCTACTCGCAAACGTCCGAACAAAAACAACACATGCCTGCCTCGATGTAAGTCATCGCAGACCTCCCACGGCGGACCCAGGCCATTTGCAAGTACCTCCTTTGCGAGTAGTGGAACGCGCTCGCCTATCCTAGGTGGGGTCGGAGTAGATGGGTTCGGAGGATCGCGCCGCATCGGCGGTGCATCGGCGATGCGGCTCGATGCGGAGCCCGATCTTCTCCACGCCGACGCCGCCGCCGCGTCGCCAGCGTCGACGATGCCTCGCTGGTGCATCGCCGATACATCGCCGATGCATCGCCGATGTATCGGCGATGCGGCGCGATCCTCCGACCCCATCTACTCCGACCACATCTAGGAGGCCTCTAGGGCGGGTCCTGGGGGAGGCGGGTCTCGTCAAGGAGGCGAGAGCCCCGAAACTTAGTATCGAGTCGGGCCTGTCCCGCTGCAGGAGGGACATTCAGAAATAGACGAAAATAGTCAGGGGACGATTTTTTGAGTAGTTTTGAACATTTGTTGAGCCTTTTTCGGCTATTTTCATTTTTCGTCCAAATCCGCCTCTCGGAGGACATGCCCGACCTAAACCTCGGTCCCCTCCCAAAGGGTTAGGGGAGTCCTCTTGTTTGGTTACTCAAGCTGTCGGAGGGTGCCAGCCATACGCACGCACCACTCCCAGGGCCAGTAGGAGGAGGAGGAGGAGGAGGAGGAGGAGGAGGAGGAGGAGGAGGAGAAGGAGGAGAGGGAGGAGAGGAGGAGGACGAGGAGGAGGAGGAGGAGGAGCAGGAGGAGGGACGAGGAGCAGGAGGAGGAGGAGGACAGGAGTAGGAGGAAGAGCAGGGGAGGAGAGGAGGAGGTAGGAGGAGGAGGCAGAGGGGGAGGGAGCAGGAGGCAGATGACGCTCCTCCTTCCGCCTCCTCCTCCTCCTGCTCTTCCTCCTCCTCCTCCTCCTCCTCCCTCTCCTCGTCCTCCTCCTGCTCCTCCTCCCTCCTCCTCCTCCTCGTCCTCATCGTCCTCTCGTCCTCCTCGTCCTCCTCGTCCTCGTCCTCCTCCCTCTCCTCCTCTCTCTCCTCCTCCTCCTCCTCCTCCTCCTCCTGCTCCTCCTGCTCCTCCTGCTCCTCCTGCTCCCTCCGCCCTCCTCATCCTCGTCCTCCTGCTCCTCCTCCTCCTCCTCCTCCTCCTCCTCCTCCTCCTCTTCCTGCCCCCTGACCCTCCTCCATTCCTTTTTCCTTGTGAGTGACTCCTCCCTGTCGCACCCCGAGGCCAGTCGGAAGGGCGGTCTGGGCGCTTCACCTGAGACTTCCTCACCGCTTGCGATCCTGAAGTCTACACACTGACAATTGTTTCACAGATGGAGGGGCGTTCGTTTTCAAAATGTGGCTCTCGCCCAAGGCGCCGCGCATGTTAGTTTTTCTTTGCGTTTTAAATGCAAACAAACATTGTCAAGAGTTTCACGGATTGAGGGCGGTTCGTTTTCAAAACGTGGTTCTCGTTTTAGCGCCGCGCATTTTCGGTTTCAACATTTGTAAGAGTTTCACATTTTGAGAACGGTTCGTTTTCAAACTGTGGTTCTCGCGTAAGCGCCGCGCACAGTCATTCTAACAAGATCTTCACATTTTGAGGGCGGCTCGCTTTCAAAATGTGGCTCTCACCTCAGCACCGCGCGCATTTGTTTCACATATTTGTAAGAGCTGAACTGAGTCTCATGGTGGACGTGCCAGAAGTGGTGTTTTGGCACAATGTCGGAATGTCAGGGCGCAACAGTTTCGTTGACTTGGGGTGTTGGAGTCCAAGGAATGGTGTTCTGGCACGATTCAGGATCGTCATGACGCAACAGTCAGGTTGACTCCCCCAAGGGGGAACCCCCCTCAGTGGAAATGACCCCTCGTAGGGGCACGTGAAGAGGGAGTTTGGAGGGAGGGTGTATTGCAACATCATTTATGAGTCTTGGGTTTACCCTCCTCGTCCTCCTCCTCCTGCTTTACCCTCAGGGGAAGGGCCTCTCTCTCTCCTTCTCTTTCTCTTCCTCCTCCTCCTCCTCCTCCTCCTCCCTCCTCCTCCTCCTCCTGCTCCCCAGGCTCCAGGTTATGGTGCCTTCGCGACCTGTTTGTCGGCATCGTCTAACCCATCCCCATTCCCAGTGTCGGGTGATGCTAGAAGAGCCCCTGACCCAAGGTGCCCCCAGGATTTCCAAGGAGGCCCCCACGGCCTCCAGAGCACCCCTCACGAGGCCCAGGGGGCTCCAGGACCCTCCCAGGTGGGGGCAGGCCCCGTGAAACCTGCAGAAACAGGCGCATAACCCCATCTAGGTGGGTAAGTCGGCCATTGGGGCCAAGTGCACGCCAGTGGGGATCAGGGCAGATTAAGCGGTGCTCAGCCTGTTCGATGCCAAGAGGCCGCTGCACTTGCCGAGGACGACGCGGAGTCAGGCTCGGAGGAGGGCGACGCCTTCCACGAGGGCGCGCGCAGCGTGAAGCCCGAGGCGAGCATCGACACGAACGCCGACGACGCTTTCCTGGTAGGCACGCTCAGCGTCAGGCCGGAGGCGAGCAAGTCGATGAGCGTGAGGCCGGCCGAAGAAGCAGAAACGGCACGCAGAGACACAGTTGCCTGGAGCTCCGCGCTGGTGCCTCGGACCTGCGCTGGGCCCCGCCTGCGCGCCGGCAAGCGGGGCCCGGCGCGGATGCGAGAAATCTGTACATCGGGGGCAGGCTGGGGAAGGAATCTCAAATCGGGAGCAGCATCGGAATGCGCCGCCCGAGCCGCGTCTCGCCCGAGCCGCGCCCATCAAGCAACGTCCTAGCCCGGGCCTCGCGCACCGCTGCCCGCGCCGGAGAGGTGCTTTCCCCTCCGCGGCGCGGCGCGAGAGCGCGACGAGAGCCGCGCCTCGCGCGAGAGCTGGGCACGCGAGAGGGAGAGCGAGAGAGAGAGAGAGCGAGAGAGAGAGCGAGAGGAGGAGGCGGAGGAGGAGGAGGCGGAGGAGGAGGAGGAGGAGGAGGAGAAGGCTGAGGAGGAGGAGGTGGAGGAGGAGGAGGAGGAGGAGGAGGAGCATAAGAGAGAGATGGAGCGGGCCCAGGTCGGGGATAGCTCGCTCCAGAGCGTTCCGGAACGCTCGCGAGAGCGCTCCCGGAGCGCCGTGGAGCGGCCGCGGCGCGCCCGATGCGTCCTCCAGAGCCGCCAGATCTCAGAGATCCTCCAGATCCGCGTGCCAGCGCGGGGGGGTCCTGGTAGGAGAGCGCGTGCGAACCCTATCCCTCCACCCCAGGATATCTTGGGGGGGTGGGGTTCGCATGTGGCCTCCTACCCGCGCGCATCCGAGGCATCCGCGCGGAGCTCCAATAGTTTCTGTTCGTGCCGTTTTTTTCTTCCGCGGTGAGGCCGCTGGCACGGGCAGACTTGCCGTCTGCGCTCGGGGGGTTCGGCAGCAGCGGCAGCGCGACCCCGCTGGAGGCCAGCCGGGAGCTGTCGGCGGCGCCGGCGTACTCCGACTCGGGCTGCGACTCGGACGCCGACGACACATTCCAGGTCCAGCGGCCTCACCTCGAGGGAAGAAACATGGGGACCTCATATCGCGATGTCGCGGGACCTTGTCGATGCCGATATTGGTCATGGTCCATGTCGGCCGTCGCCAAATCGCGAGGATGCTCCACGAAGTGGCGCGGTCCAGGAAAGACACGACGTTTCCGGTCTCAGTCTTTGTCATGGTGCCTCGAGTTTCTTAGAAGCGTCGGGGGGGCGTCACCACCGCCGACAGCCCCACATGGGCAGCCACCGCGCCGCGAAGGCGATCCGACCCCAGTCGCGGCGCGACGACGAGGCGAGGTTGACCCCCCGTCGGGGGGGTACCCCCCACGCTTAATAAAAAACCCAGAGCACGGAGGCAAGCAGGGTGTTTCTTGGCATGCGTCTCCACTGCAGGGCCTCCTGGCATGCTCCTCGGGCGCTCCTTGGAGCCGGTCTTGAAGCCTCGAGGAGGAGGAGGAGGAGGAGGAGGAGGAGGAGGAGG